AGGGACCATCTTTTCGTTGTGTCTGTACAGCGCCTAGAACCAGAGCCCTGATGGGGGCCTCCAGGTGCTACTGCAACACAAACAATAACTGCCTTAACGACAACATGCCAAACAGCCCAGCGCTCCCTTCCCCACTACTGCACCGGGCGCTGGCTCAGTACTGACTCACAAGAGCACGCACAGACACCACTTCTGGGTTTCCCTTGGAGGTCTCCCATCCAAGTTCCACCCAGGCATAACCCTGCTTAGCTTGAGACTGGATGAGATCACAGCATGAGGGTGAGGTTCCAGGGAAGCCTCACTGGAAGAGCCCGTTTATAGGAGAGTTTGAGCAAGACGTGACATGACAGCAGACAAGGCAAGAACTCGCAGCGAGAGGGAGGGATTGACCTGAGTGGAAGTGAGAAGTGTTTACCTTGGGAGTATCTACACAGTCAGGAGGAAGCTGGAATACTCTCAATTACTGGCTCTCACCACAGACAAGAAGTGGGAACTGAAAGGCAAACGTTGTTTGAGGCTCTCCAGTATCTTGGCAGGTGACAGTCATGACCCTCCCAGGCATGCTGGGGGCCTCCTTGGTCCCCCGTGACATGAAATACACCCAGGTCCAGGATTACTGGCTTTCACAGTGAGTTCGCCTTGCCAGGAACCACAAGCGCCTCTTCCTCTGGATGCCTTTGTTGTGTGTGGGCTGCAGTCCCGCCCCGCTGGCTGCTTTCACATAATCTCTCACCGGAGACCATGAGTATCTTCGCTGCAAAAAGTGGTGTGCGTTTTGCTCGGGTTAAACTAGCAGTGAAGACCCAGCAATTCGGCTTTTAACTCAGATTAGCTGCTCGAATGAAACCCTGTAGTGGAGCTGGGGCTGAACTCAAGCTACTAACCCAAGTTAGGAACACACCTTTCATTTGCAATGATGACATACTCATAGACCAAGTTTTCTGAACCTGGCTGCCTCCTCCTGCCAAGAACATGGACACAAAGGACCCCACCAGCGTCCTGTCCATGACCGTTACCCTGTGTGCATGCTAAGGGGAGGCTACTTTCTGCTTGACCTCTGCAGTGTTAATGAGTAAATGTTTGCTTTGTTACTGAAGCCGTGGATGTGAAGGGGTATCTGAAATGTTTGGAAGGGAATAAAAAACTAAGTGCCCCATGCTAGAACTGTCCCATTGCTCAGTTATCCCTTAATTTGGATCCCTGAGTAGCCAGAGTAAATCGCCCCCATTTTAGAAGCATCTTCTTTGCATGTTTGGTTTCCTGGAAGACCTCATTTCAGAAGTAAAACGTTAACTGTATTTTGGACATGTCACTCGCCACTTACAATTCCAAAGCCAATAAGAAAATCTTTCAAAAGGTTTTAGCCACGCTTTCAGCCGAGGCATTTGCTGGGAATAATGTTATTTGTTCCCTGAAATATTTGGAATTATGCACAAGTTACGGAGTTGAGGGAGCTACAGTCTAAATCAGAGTTCATTTTTCCCTTCCCAGCTTATCTCCCATTACTCAAGTCACATCAGCTGCAGGCAGCAGCTCCAGATTCTCTCTCAGGAACTAAGGGAGCCTCCAATATGATAAATATTTTCCACTGGAAACATGCATCAATTCCTCAACTGAGGCACTGAGGCAGCCAGGTCCATTCTTCACTGGATTCCATTTGATTTGTGGCCTCTCTCCCAACCCAGAGTTTTTGGTCCAACAAGAGTTGGCTGAGGGAGGATGGATTTTTTTCCCATTCTAAGAGCAAAATTGATGAATGCTGTTCTGAGTTCAAAATAAGGGGTTTGGCGTAATTACCCTTAGAAGTGCCCAAGATGCGAGTATCTTAAGAAATGAGAGCTGGGGACACAGTAACGGCTACTTTGAGTTCCATAGCAGGATCTGAGAGCAAGTCCAACAGGTCAGAGTACAAATAGATAATCGCGGAAGAAACCAAACTATCACCTGACCTTTCCCACATCCTGGAGATATTAGTGACTGCAGCATGTGCTAACACACCACTTTACCCTCCCATGTTAAACTTAGCGGGAGGAAGGTGTCACAGAGTCCCCGGGAGATGCTCTGGAACTGCTCCCCACAAAGCCAGTCAGGACTTTGGGGAGCCTCCTCTCCCTTGGAACAGACTGTCTTCAGGGCAAGAAGTTCACACGGCTTCACCTCCTGGGTCTCTCCTGGGAGCATTCAGCCTCTGCCTCTCCATGTGCTTCCCACAGCGAGTCTGCCCAGGCGGGGTCCTGGGGAAGCCAGAGGGTCCTGCACACACCCCCACTCCACTTTGCAGCCAGACATGACTCTTAGCCAGCCAGTAAAACAGAGGTTTATTAGATGACTGGAACACGGTCTAAAACAGAGCTTGTAGGTACAGAGAACCGGACCCCTCAGCCGGGTCCATTCTGGGGCCCAGCGAGGCAGACACCCACGTCTGCCCTCCCTTCCCGTCCCCAGCCAGCTCCAAACTGAAACCCCCTCCAGCCCCTCCTTTCTGGCCTTTGTCTCTTTCCCAGGCCAGGAGGTCACCTGATCTCTTTGTTCACCTTTAGCTATCCCCTTGCAGGGGGGAAGGACCCTGGCCATTTGTTGCTAGGAGACAAATTGTCAGCCATTTATGCACACTGGAGACTTAAGAAATGCATAGGGGAAACTGAGGCACGCACACAGTATTCAGAGAAAACATTAAGAACAGTCCCACTTCATCACAGGGGGGAAGAGCAGAAAAGAAATTATTTAGGCTGTATTTACTCAGCTGTCTTTGTTCTCTGCTCTTGAAGCAAGAATCACAGAGTGAAATCCCTGGTGGTTCTGAGAACTGCTCTAAAAATAAAAGAAATAATACTGTATATATTAATGGGGGAGCAGAGGAGGCTGCTATTCTATTCCTGTCACTAGAAAGGCTGTTTAGCATCCAAAGGAGACAGTGTCAGCATTAAAGGTAAGCAAGTAGGCATATCATTTCAGGGTACTCACACCTCCTCACTTTTGGGGAGCTTGTTTTGGGGCAGTGATTGAAGGGCCTCAGCTAGCCAAATCCCACGCATCTCCACAAGATTTTATTTCCCACCTCAGTGTCAAACATCAACCTTGGGAGTCAGTGGACACAGAAGAAAGTTCCTCCCAAAGAGAATGAGAGCATCCCTGCAATCTGATAAATGAAACTGCAAAATATACTGTAAACAGGTCAGAATCACTGCAGGTCTGCCCCTGTCTTGGGACTTCAGAGTGTTACATGGGGAATACAACTGCTTGGGTTTTGAGTAAGAGAAATCGCTACATTTCTCATCCCTTTGGATCAGTCTTCCAGCTGCAACGAGTCTAAGACATGGTCATCAGTAGCCGTCCGTATCAAAGCATTAATTCCTTCCACCAACTTCCTGGGTTCAGCTTTCATTTTACAAAATCATTTCAAGTCAGTCCCAGTACTTCTGGGTAGCACACACAAAATGGCCCAGCTGCTAACACAAACAGATGGGGAGAGAGGCGCCCCTCTCCCAGCCCGGCCGTTATTCCCATTTTTAAAAAACGTTAAACTTTCCAAACAGACGTGACCGAGAAACCAAGCCAGGCAGTCATTAATACACAGGAGGCCAGGCTACAGCTGACAAGCCAAAGAAAGAGAGGCTTTCTGCCTGGAGACCCCCCAGAATGAGTGAATTCCTATCATCAGGCTCCAGGATTCTGCCATCTGCAAAGAGGATGCCCACAATCCCCATTTATGGGCGGCCTAACACAAAGGGTTAAAGCCAGCCTCTAAAATGGCATCGAAAATCAGAAAGAGCTGCAAGCATCAATCTCCATGTAGTCTGCATGGAGAGGCCATTTAGCTCAGCTAGGATCCCCCCACTAGGCCTCTACAGGCAAATGTCACTGCCCGCTCCACCAACTCTCTCTCTAGAGCCACAATGGGTCATGCCAAGTCTCCACCACACTCATTTGCTTGTCTGTTGGATCCCCATAGTCTGTTTGATGCATTGGACGCTAAGCCCCAGCAGGGTTTCTCTCTTTTTAAATCTGCACAGAGCCCAGCCAGGGCCTTTGGCACCACTCACAACACCAACAAACACACACCTCTCCTGGGCAGCGCTCCAAGTTCACCTTACAGTCATTTCAAATCCACTCCATGCTAAGAGCCTGCCTGTCCCCAGCCAGAGCCTGGAACAAGCTTCAGAAACCCCCTCCACATACACTGCCTCTCAGGGCCAGGTTCCTGACGGCCAGGCTCAGCCAAGACACACTCCATGGTTTCTGAGGAAGTCAAAAGCCAGGCAGATGGAGCCAACATGAGTTTGGGGTTTTACATCCAAGATCCCCTTGTAACCACCCCCGTCTACCCTGCACCCACAGCCAACAGACAGCACCGGGGAAGGTCCTGCAGCCCCCTCCCCAGGCACACTGAGAATGGCCCCAGGAGGGGAGAGCATTATCACCCAGGACACTGGGGGCACTTGCACTCCTATGGGGTGGCTGCAACGCATTCAGCACCCCCGTGCATCGGGAGCTCAATGCAGACAGCAGTCCCTTTGTACCATCCTCCCCCTTCATCCACTCCACGAGATGGGCTGGCATAATGCATACACTCTCTCCCTGAAGTGTAGGGGTGCAACGCACCCAGCCGTACCCACCTCACCCTAGGGTGGGGGATACAATGGACACAGCCTCTCCCCCCACCGTCCCTCCCCGAGATGGGAGGTTGCAATGCACACAGCCTCCAGCTCACCTTTCCCCCACCTCCCTGGGGCTGGGGGGTACAGTGCACCCCCCCCACCACACACACCCTGGCTCACTTCCCCAGGACGCAGGGTGGGGGGTACAGTACACACAGCCCCCCCCCCACCTTAACCCACTACCCAGGGCGGGGGGGGGGATACAGTGCACACACACACCCCAGCTCACTTCCCCAGGGCGGGGGGTACCGTGCACCCCCCCAGTTCACCTCCCCCCGGCTAGGGCACGTGCCGCCTGCCCAGCCACGCTCCGACAGTCACACAAACCGGGCCGAGACCCACCTCTCCGCCGGCGCCAGCCCCATCCGCCCCGCCGCAGCCCCGCGTCCCTCCCGCCTCAGCCAGGCAGCAGCGAGCTCGGCGAGCTCGCCTGTCTCCCCTCGCCTCGCCCCGCCCCGCCCGGCGGAAACAGCCGAGGTGCAGCGGAACGACCCGAGGCCCCTCCCGAAAACCCACGAGCGAAGGCGGAGACACCCGAAGCAACCTGAGGGCCCTCGGCGGCTCCGGGGACACCCGAGCGCGGAGGCGATAACCCCGCCCCCTTCCCGGAGCCAACAGGGACTAACGGCGACTCCCGAGCAGGGACGGAAACACCCGAGTCCGCCCCCCTCAACCCGCCCTTACGTCACATCATTTTCTAACGATGTTTATTTTAGAGAAAGGGGAAGAATATTGTTGTTGCCCCAAAATTATACCCGGGTGGGTCCGCCCCCCCCCGCCGGGACAGGTCCCCCAGCAGCGCCCCCACCCAGGGCAACGAGTCCCTCAGCAGCGCCAAGAACAGCGCCCCCCCCCGCCGGCCGCTCCCCTCAGTGACCCCCGCCCCTCAGAGCCCCCCCCCTCAGTGACCCCCC